GATTTTTTTATTGCCGGTTGACACTTTCCATGTTTTTTTTTTTGTTTGTTTGTTTGTTTTTTTACTTAATCTAAGCTGAAATGCTAAAGTTAAGTATGTCAGATAAAAATTTATTTTTTAAGCTGAGATTTATTTTCTAGTATTTCACCATAAAATAAAAGATTTAAAACTTACAACATTTTAGAATATTTGATTTCATCACTGTGTGACAACAATCCATGAAATATCAGGGAAAGAGATCATTAATTTAATATATCTCTTTGCAGGAAAGAGAAGTATTAAATTGATAACATAAAGCAAAAAACTGTTTGCTTTATGTTTCTTTTTGTCTTTTAGTGACTCATTTGAGAAGAATTGTAATTGTCTGCCATAGTTTAACGTCACATAAAGTCCATGTCATACAAAAATTCAGTTGATCAATACAAGAGAAATAACAGTTCATTTTTACTAAATACCTTCATCTTTTTCAGCAATAACCCGGTCTTTAGCTTTGTAATTATAATGTAATCATTAGCATTGCCAGTTGGTTTGCAGACTCCCAATTTTATTAGAAATGTGGTAAAAACCTTTTATTTGTTCTTTTTTAAAAACAGTCAACCAAAGAGGTTATTTTTGACATTTTAAAAGTTTTTTGTATCATTTTCATTGACCCATTCACAGAAACACATCTAGAACCGATGAAACATATTCAGAAAATGTTGCTTTGTAATCAGGATGTGGTTCCTTTGTTTGTTTCTTTTTTTAATGATGTTATTTATTCTGACATCAGGCGCCATAAAGCTCAAGCTTCATCAAATAGATTTTCTGCGTTTAAAGGGAAAGCCTGGATAAGGGGCCGCTGTCCTAATCAGTGGATTCTGTGGTTGTCTTCACCCAGATATGATCAACTACCTGAAGGACAGACAATCAAACATTGTAACTTTGTTGTCTCCTGTTGAAATGTGGAGGCTGCCACTCTGTGAATTTGTTAAAAAGTACTGGAAGCAAACTGCCAATGATGAATATGGAATATTTGTTTTAATAAAACAAATTCAAAAGGAACAGGAAATAATGAACCTTATGATGAGGGTAATCCTGACAATAGTTTTTCTGTTTCGCTGCAGGCAAATGACCATATCATGAATGGCTGGTTGACTCTTAGGAACTGGGAACCTGGAGAAGTTGAAAGTGAAAGTGTATCATGTTACATGTCATCATGGAAAAATCCATTTGTGTGTTTACAAAAACAACATTATAAAGGGTGCAACCGAAAGCAACTCCACATCAGTTCTCATTCTGCATGAATATGGAGGACCGGTATCCATACCCTGTTTTCATCAATTGTTCTGACGTTCTCTCCGAAGAAAATAAGAAGAAAGTTGAAAATTATTTTCAGATCATACGCAAGTCAGGCGGAGGAGAGTGTGGACCAGTAACAACTGCGGCCGATGAGACCTACAGAATAGCTTTCAAACATCAAAGAGGTAAAGTAAAATCCAGAACCTCATTTTGAAATGTTTAAAGTCAGTTTATTTTGCTGAACCAACTTGAAAGATGGCAGAGACAATAACCAATGAGCAAAGATGTTGTATGGGTTCTTTTTGGGTTTTTTCTTCATTTAACAATCTTTAGTTGTTTGCCATATGGTATGTCTACTTAGTGCAGGAAAGTTTAAAGGAAGTCATTATGTCTAAAACGTTAACTTAGAAATGTTCCTCTCCACTCATTTCCTGTGGAGTCTGCTTGTCCTCTTCCAGTGAAGAACTGGTGTAGTGTGTGCATGTGAAATGTCCAGCTTGTACATGTATATATGAACATGCAGGCTAGAGATGCAACAAATAAAAGATGACAAATTGTTGCAGAAATATTTCATCTTTTGCTCATTTGTTATGCGTTGTGTGCCGAGCCTTGTTCACAGGAAGCTACCTGTGAACAAGGTAACTTAGCCAGCAGCAATTAGCACAATATTTACATGACAGCTGAATAAAACAGCTGGTGAACAAGGTAAATTAACCAGCAGCAATTGGTTAATTGTGTCCGCCCCCACCATCGAAGGCAACTCTACACCAAGTATTGGTCAGTGGACCTCTGCACTTCTCTTCGCCTATTCAGTTGCAGATCAGATGAAGTGACAACAAAGTTGATAATTGAACTGCAGCCCAGGGTGTCCTGGTGCCAAGAGCACATATGAGCACCCTAATCCCTGAACATGGTAGAGCACAGAAGTCTAACAACAAAACACCACTCTGGTTCAGATCAGGGGGTTAATTTCTCCCAACTACACCCCTCCAGGTCTCAGTCCTTGCCCAAGTGAGCACTGGAGTCCCCATGGAAACTATCCCTTTGTCACAAATGCTTAGTGGTGCAATACAAAAATGAAACCCACTTTGTAATTTAAAATACGTTAACAATGCCTACAGAGCCAGAGCTGTCGCACAAAGGATTTGTGAGTCTATCAGAAGTACACAGGGCCAAAGCTGAAAAAAATGCACACCCCCTGGCATCATGTGCACGCTGACTGTAAAAGCAATTGAAATTTTATGCAAAATAACTGATACTGACTTGACTGAAACCAGGATCCAAAGCCTCCAATACTCAAATAAGCTTTATGGGTTTTGCTATAATTTGTTTTGCTTCTTGAATTTGCTGCTAAGAATAGATGAAAGAACTTTCCACTAGGCACATAATGTGCTTATGGAAATGTTTAATTCTGATGGTGAACAGGTGGATGACATGAGCAGTACAGTAATACCTGATGAAACTGCACATTTACTGCACATCATCATAGAAGCTACTTCTAAGTACATCACTGGTAAAAACATTGAGATAACAGACCAACGCTGTCGTGAAAGATTTATGCATAGTGCCACTCTATAATATAAAGTAGGGTTATGAGCCTGGAAAACACATCGTACCTCCCATTTAATTGTTGTTCTAAATTAAGTTTGATCAGCAGATGAAATTAGTATTTTTGAAATTTTCTGCACATTTTTTATTATTCTTCTTTAGTTTGCATCAAGTTTTGTAGTAATTGTTCCATGTATACCTTAAATTCAAAAATAATTATTGCAATCCATTTTGTTGCAGACCAACAGGAAGTCCTAAGGAGATGTGAGCACACAGTGGAGCTGTCCTCAGGTCCTCTGGTCTTAATTGTCATGGACAAACCTCTATCAGCTCCAGTAGAGGTCAGTAGGACTCAACAGCACTTCAGATGCATCCTCTTTCTTCAATGTCAAATCTTTTACCGCCATGACCAGGACAGACGTCCAGACATTGTGAACAGTTGATCCTATAGGGTTTATTATAATAATAATTAAAAAGTTTGAACTATACAGATGAACTATACAGATCATAACAGATAAAATATAATTTAATTGTTCATTCAACTATAACACTGAAACCATCAGTAGAAGTTTGTTCCAAAGAATCAGTTCTTAAAGTGAAAATCATGAAGGAAGTGATGAGAAAAATGGTCCTGTGTATTATGTCATATATGTGGTGTGTATTAAAACTGCACAATTTAGAGGCACAGCATTAAGTTATGCGAAATTCTGTTTGACATCTTTGTACGTCTCATTTTCATCATCACTAAGACACATTTTTTTCCTCCCCCACACAAACCATTTGTACACCAGAGAGCTGTGTCGAACGAAAACAATTGGGACTGGATCAGCTCTGGCTCTGGACGTGACCCTGGTGGTGAGTCACTCTCATTTATTTTCTAGAAACTTTTAAGGACATTTGAAGGTCAGAGGTTTAAAAAACTAAAGTCTTGTAAACTCACCCAATAGACTCTGATCTCTAAAGACATTTCTGAGAGAGGGGTTAGGTAAAGTAAAAAAGGAAAAGGAGACCAAACCCTACTTTACAGCGTTACACAGAGTTTAGCATTTCAGCTACAACTGTTTCATAAAAGTGTTGGAAAAATGTGTTTTAGGCAAAACATTTGCTTGCAGACTGTTTCCACTTTTTGGCATCACATTTTATCTACAGATATTTACTTACACTTAGACTTTTAAAAATTAGGTACTACACTTGCCCGACAGCTGGATATGACTGCTGGTGAACAGGTGGATGACATGAGCCTGATTGCACTGCAGCAGCAGCCTGCAGGTTGACCTCATGACCTTATTGCAAAGGTGAGAGCAGAAGAGGAAAACAGAGCCAGAATCATGACAATATGAGCATCTTTAAGCAGCATGAAGTTCCTGTGACAACAGTTGCACTTGCACATATTATCCAGAAGTTCAAAGTCCACAAGACTGGAGCCAATTTCCCTGGCCGGGGCCACAGGAGGAACGTTTGGCCATGAAACCATGAAGTTTCTGGGAGAATGTCCTATAGACAGATGAGAGAACACCGGCAGATTTTTTCAAGGCACATCATCTCTGTTAAAGATGCAAAAATTAAGCATAGCAAGAAAGAAACAGTGTTCCGAGGTGGTTAGTAATATTCTGGGTCTGCATCGCCGCATCTGGCACCAGGTGTCTTGAGTTTCTCAGGGTACGATGAAATCTCAAGACTGTCAGGGCATTCTGGAGAGAAATGTGCAGAAAGTGTGACACACTGCTCACACTTTCTGCAGTGTGAGACCACACTGCAGAAAGTGTGGTCTCAGTTGTAGGTAAAAGGCTTTCTAACAGGATAATTACCAAAAAACACAACTAGAAACTCCCAAGAATTGAACTACTGTGAACCCTGATCTAAATCCAACTGAACATCTGTAGGAGAAACTGAAACTGGAGAATTACCATCACTTTTGTCCATTCATTTGTTTTTCTTTGAAATGATCCTGTTGAATGTCAATTCTAAATCTATATTCACTTTGAGTTTGTTGAGTATATGTTAAGATTAAATATCTAGTTATCTGATTATTATCTCTGACTAAATTGAAGGATTTAGGATTGTTGGGATCTGTTACCTCCAGGCCCAAACTACAATGTTTAACAACTGTCTGTATCTGATATTCGGCTTTCAAATCAAAGTTTGACTTTGTTCACCAAGCGTAAATTATCTTTATTTTGTTGACATGTTTTCATTATTATAGTAATGAGGGACATTGTTGTTTTTTAGACTCCGATTTGAGAAGAGTTGTGGTCCTCGGGAAAACTGGATCTGGGAAAAGCAGTCTCGGAAACACCATATTTGGAGAAGACAAGTTCACTGTCTGCCCTGGTCCTAACTCTTGTCAAAGTCCATGTCAGGCAAAAACTCAATCAATCAATGGGAGAAAACTTACTTTGATTGATACACCAGGCTTGTTTGACACAAATATGCCTGAAGACATCCTGAAGGATGAAATATTGAAGTGTATCAGAGGGTGTTCATCTGGGCTGCATGCCTTCCTCATTGTACTTAATCTAGGACGTTTCACAGACCAGGAAAAAGATATTATTCACAAAATTACTGAATTCTCTGACCAAGTGTTTACATATGCAACAGTAGTTTTTACTCATGGTGAGAAGCTCCCTGAAGGGCAGCATATCAAAGAATATATTAGCCAAAACGAATCTTTGATGAAAATAGTAGCAAAATGTGGAGGTCGGTGTCATGTTGTAGATAATGAATGCTGGAACAATAGTTCTATTGACACATATAGGAACAACGCCTACCAGGTAAAGGAAATACTCAAATCAATTGAAGAGACGGTGAAGCAAAACAACGGGAAATGCTATACTAATGAGTTTCTGCAAACAGTGGAGAAAATGATACAACGTGTAGCACTTGCAGTGGTTAATGAAGAACAGCAAGCAGGTCAAGAAGCACAGCAAGCTGGTCAAGAAGCACAGCAAGCTGGTCAAGAAGCACAGCAAGCTGGTCAAGAAATACAGCAAGCTGGTCAAGAAGCACAGCAAGCTGGTCAAGAAGCACAGGAAGCTGGTCAAGAAGCACAGGAAGCTGGTCAAGAACATCTTGTTGTTCTTACCGAAGAACAACAACAGCAAGTTGCAAGACAAGGAATCTGGGAGAGAGCTAAAAAAATAGTGTGGCAGATGTTAAGGACAGTAAAAGGTATTAAATCACATGTACTATTGACAGCACTTTTTGGTGTAGCAGTTAGTGCAGTAGTTGCATATTTGAAACTTAGAGGTTACCCAGAAGGCATAGATACAATACAACTGGTTCAATCAGCAGCAGCAGGAATAAATATTTCAGATGAAATGCTTGTTGCTAGTTTCACAGTGGCAGCAGGTGCACTAGTAACTTTTAGACCTTCTGCTCAGCAATAAATTGACCTTAAGCATTTGAAAGACAATGTAATCATTAAATAAGGTTCACAGTTAATTGTACATTTCTCTTCAGACACCTGATTTACCAATAAATTTGGCAAAAATACATTTGAAAAAGTCAGAGTACAAACATTATGTTGACATTTTATTTGTTTTTTTGTGCTTTCTATTATACTGGACTCATTTCACTCAGGAAAATATACATTTATAAAATGTTGCTTTGTAATCAGCAAGTGGTTTCTCAGTTACAGCTGTTTTTTTTAATGATTTTTATTCTGACATCAGACACTGAACTGAAACCAAAAAGCTCAAGTTGACCTTCCATGCATCAAACCAAGGATTGTTGCCCCAATCAGTGGATTCTGAGAAATGAGAGGATTTTGTTGTTTGATTGTTTTTCATTTCAGTCCTCTATTGCCACTTTCCAAAGTCACCACAAAACTTGTTTTGGTGACTTTCTGTTCTGATTTAAAATGTATATATGTTCCCCATCCCAGTGTGATCAGGTCTATGTAAAGGCACATTGAATTTTCTTTTTAGCAACAGCGCCCCCTTCTTGATATGTTATTTATGGGGTGAGCCTCTACCTCAGTATCCAGTTGGAATATTGCATAAAAATTTTGATTCATTCTCATAAAATGTAATTTTATAACAAATTATGACATCTAAATATATCAACTTGATAGAATCACAAATGGTAGCCCTTGTATGAATCTCTGGTTTAACAGAAGAGATGATCTGTTATTGCAAATGATTAATTATATTTTATATTTAATACTAAATGCTTCAGAAGTTCATTAAGTACATCAGACATATTAAAGCTCAATGACATCTGATCTACATTTGGTTAATTTTCTTGCTTTATTGTTACATCTTAAGCAATTTTATTTTGGTTCAATTCTTCATAGATAATTAGTTTGGATGACTTTAGTTTGCTTTAATATATTAATGTTTTGCTTATATTGAATATGTAGGGATATGATTTATGTATTTGTTCATCTTTAAATTATTTTCTTCACAATTAATCAATTGTGATATTTTACTACAGTAACTTTATATCCAGTTCCAGATCCTCTCTGTCCTGCTTAAGATAAAAGTGTTTATGGTGCATTTGTTCATAACTTTCTATTATGCATTAATGGGTTTTATTATTAATATAACATTTATATATCCTTTATGGTTTTTTTGTACTTATATTTCAGTGGTTGCCAGGTTTAAAAGGCACAAAGTTTTTCTTATTCTTTGAATTTTGTTTGAACGTGATTCACTTCATACTGAATTTAATTGGTTTTCAGAGTAATATCTGTACCACACCTTATATATATTTTTTTATTTATCTGTCTTTCTGTATTCCTGAAGAGATAGAGCATATAATAAATATCAAGTATCAAAAACATGTGGAGCTGAATTGTTTGAGATCATTTAAACTGAGCAGGATGACGACCTGAGGCATCCAACCCGAAGATAAAGAGTTTTACCTTTACAAGCTTATTTTATTGTCTCTATACTGTCTGCTTTGGTTTCTTCATATTTTCCTCCTTGACCAACAAAAAACCAGCCATGCAGGGGAAAAGGCAGATGTGAGGCAAAAATGTCAACAGCAAATTTTAGGAAAGTATCTCAAAGAAAAAGTCTGAAATCCCAAAAATAATTACAATAGTCATAGTTTTACATACGTAGTTCAAGTTCAGTGTGCTTTTAGCTAGCTTCTTTTTGAGAAAGGATTCTCAAAAAGATTTTTCCCAACAGCTGAAGACAAAACAACCTGTTATTATCATAATAGCAGGTTGGTTAGTCCAAGAAAAGGATCTGATTAAATAAAATAAATCTACATATAGAATGTCTTGAGGTGAATATAAAGAGGTTATTCATCCAGCAAATAGGATGAAACGTCACACTATCATCGGTTCACAAGAAAAAAATAAGAGTAAATTTCAGCAAGGCTTTTGGAAAACTATGAAACTCCAAATTTGTTAGTTGACTTTATGTCTGAGTTGTCATAGACTCAGGTTTTTACATCTTTTGTGTTGATCTAGAGATGAGCAAATGCAGTCACTCTAATGGTATGACTATTATGCTAGTTAGGCAAGTATTTATATTTGCTTGATATTTAGCTTTTTAGCTGTTGTGGTAGGTGCTGTCTTCTATGAAGGGCTAAAAGGGACAAGATTTAATTAACATATCCTAATATTATTATGTCATTAGTTACCATAATCGTTAACTAAATAAATGTTTAAATAATTCACAGAGATTTTGTGTAAGAAATTATGAAAATAAATAACCAAAATTAAAAATATTGCTTGTCTCAGCACTGCTGGTTAAGTACTCATCTAGTGTGTACACATAAGCTTACAATCATTTAACCCTTTTTCTATGGTTAGGCTGCTTCCTTGTAAATATCTCTGACTGTTTGGTTTGAAAGCTGGGCAGAAAGATGTTGGACTTGGGGATATGATTCTTGTCCATTACAAAATAATGGAAGAACTTTAAACTTTCCTCTGCTTTGTTTCCACAAAGCTTTCTTTCAAGTCTCATGAGATTTGCAGTTGTAGTACAGGTGATAGTAGTTCACTATTTGAACTTTTGAAATGATGATTAGTATTTCCCAGTAGTAAAAATAACACCTCTTTGCCATGAATACGTATGACTTCTTCCCCCACGTACAGCACACAGCGGAGACTAGTTGGGTGAACTTCTGTAATGAGTGTCAACAACAAAAAGCACAGTGAGCCTCCCTACTGGTCCAATAGTTCTGAGTCCAGAGTAGAGTGCTGAAAAGACCGTGTCCTACAAATAATTACTACAATCGGGTTTAACAATACATTTTTGTAACAGGTGATCATATAGTGGATTTTGATTGACAGCACAACTTTCAAATGAAATTCATACAATCTTTCTCTTATAAATAAATAAAATCAGAAAAGTAAACACAGACAGGAGTCAAATTTAACTAATAAACTATTTAACAGTAACCTCTAACTGAAACAGAGAACGAACAAACTGACAGGCAAATACAGCAAACCGACAACATCATAAACAAACTGACAAACTTAACTGAAAAATAACTGACAAACATAACTGACAACATAAATTTCTGACATTTAACATAATGTTAAATGCATCTTCACAGACATTCAACATGTCACAGACATTTAACATAATGTTACATGTCAGAAATTTGATGAGTGGGAGGAGTTTTTGCGAGCTGGAAGAGAACTGGAGAGACAGAAAAGTCTCAAAGATATTTTTATTCAACAATGTATTGAGTTGAGGAGAGAGTTGGAAAGTGTCAGAAAATATAGTGATCCAAATACTCTGAGCCCAGTTGTCATTGCGTCAAAGGTCTACAGCGAGATAAAACACAAATCTGAAATAAAGCTACAAAACGATTTGGAGCAATTAAAGGTGGCTTACATTATCTCCATGTCAAAGAGTTAAGTTAACTATTTAAAATAGTTCACAGAATTATGTCTTTTGAAATGCCGAATCATTCAAACGGTGGGATGAGGAGTTTTTGCGAGCTGGAAAAAGAATTGGAGAGACAGAAAAGTCTCAAAGATATTTTTATTCATCAATGTATTGAGTTGAGGAGAGAGTTGGAAACTTTAAGAAAATATAGTGATCCAAATACTCTCAGCCAAGCTGTAATTGCATCAAAGGTGTACAGTGAGATAAGAGAGAAATCGAAAATGGAGCTACAAGACGATTTGGAGACATTGAAGGTAGCTTATGCTATCTCCATATCAAAGACGAAGGCAGAAGAAGAAAAAAATAACGCCTTAAAGGAAGAACTGGACCAAATTAAGTCTAGCTACGAGGAGCTTAAATCTAAATCTGAGGGGGGAACTGCAGAAGGAAATATAGCAACAACCTGAAGACAAAATGGCCCAGGAGATTGACAGCTTCAAGGAGACAGAGGTCAGACTGAAGAGTGAGCTGGAGCAGATGGTGGTTTCGCACCACAAGCTGGTCGAAGAAAAGGACAACATTAATGAAGAATTAACAAAGAAAATTAAACATCTTCAATGTCTCCTGGAGCTGTCAAGAATATCATATTGAAGTGAAGTCAGAAGGTAATATTTCTGCTATCATAGAGCAAGCGGTAATATTTAAGCAGAATATGGATCAACAGTTGGAGGCTTATTCAGAAAAAATAGATTATTTATGACCTTGAATCTGAGAAGGACGGTCTCTTGAAACAACTTAGTGCTGTCCATCAATTACAATTAGGCCCGCCAGGACAAAACAAGATACATCCGTGGATCTCTGACTCTGCATCCACGGATCCAGCCAATGTGTCAGACGAAACCTCCTCAGAGGATATTGAGTTTTCTAATGCGTCACCAAGGCGGGTAAATAATTTAGTAGAGGAGACAGTCGCAAAACAAAAATCCTGTGGAAACAGATGAGACACAGGTTGGGAATCAGAAAACCTCAAAGGTGCAAGAAGAGCAAGAAGACCTCTGAGGATAGTAATTATAAAACAAAATCCAATTAGATTCAGAACCATTTCCAAAACCCCAAAATACATGTTATTTTAGACCCCCCCCCAAAAAAAGGCCATGGGTTTTCTCCAAGTGCTCTGGTTTCCCCAGATTTCAAAAACCCCAAATTACATTTCTTTGTTCTCAACCAGTCGCCTCTTTCTGTGGGAGTTTCTCTGTTCTCTCCGTGTTAGTGTGGGGTTTTCTCCTGGTACTCCGGTTCACCACAGATTTAGAAAATAATGTAACCTTACACAATGTACATTGTCCTTAAGAAATGTACCATTAATTTCTAGAAAATTGACTTTGCAAATAGTTCAGATTGTGAAAACAAAAAAACGGTAATTTGTTGTGAGGAAAGCAAGAAGGTTGTGATGTAAATTGGGGTGATTGACCAATGTAAGCTTAGGCTGGTGTGGACATGTCCCCAGCAATATTTCCTCAACCTTTATTTCTTTATGTACCTTCATCTATGTAACTCGGCAGCAGCTGCATGTTGTATTCAAAGCATTAACAGCCAGGTAACGCTTTTTAAAATTTCTTTGTAAAACGTTACTATTCGCCACAGGCGCTGTTGCTTTATAATGAGTGATTAATATCAGTGCTCGGAGAAATGACGCAATCAAACAAATAATCTGAGGGAGACAAAGTTTTGATATGGATTGACAACACTACGGTAGCGAGGCTTCAAGGTCCAAAGAGACATTTCACAGGTCAGTAAAAAACTTTTAAAAAATTGGGAGAATAGGTTAGTTAAGCAACCATTGCTCCAACCAGATCCAAAAAAGGTTTTGCGTATTTTATCACTTTAGGGTTAGGGGTTACATGGACTCTTGCTGCACAGTTCGGAGTATTTCGGTTCAATTAACACAAAAAGGCGACCCACACAGATTTTCTTACAACTAATCAGAAGTACAGGGGTTTAAGTTAGATAATCAACCGCCGCCAGTGTTCTTGGGATCACTTCCTAATGATGCAAAATGGAAATTCAGAAATATCAATCAATCATCAGATAGGATGAAATATTTGTTAAATTTTAAATCATGGCTCCTGTAAAGTAAAATTAAATTGTGGGCCTTTATAAAGACAGATTTGCTTTATTCTCTCTTATTTCTAGAACTGACAGAAATCAAACTATAGATTTATTAGCAGAGACAATAGATATATATATTACATATCAGCATCTCAGCAAGCCACATTTGATAGAATCCAGTAACATCGATGGTCACTCTACTCATCCATCGCTCCAACCACCCAAAACAGGTTTTGCATCTTTATTATTTGTTTTATTAAATCATATTTCATCTGCTGTGT